AGGAAATATCGCAAAAAACTACCATAAACATTCAAATGAACAAAGAAAACCTTCTTAATCTATTGAGGATTAATGTTAACAATTCATTATTGAATCTTATGAATAGTTCACACTCATGCAAGCGATATGCATAATGGTCAATGGACACATTTCATTCACCTGAAAAGTGCTTGTTAATATCACATTTCGTGGATGCTACGTCAAATTTCATTTATACCAATTCTCTTAGGTAACATATAATCTCTGCAGTTTGCAGTTCTAAACGTGAATGGAAGCGAGCTTAAGCACTGAGAAAGACAGCATACATGTGAATATTAACAATAAATCACTGCAATATGATGAATAGCTCTAAATGAAATGCATGTGTTTTCAGACCTATGTACTAAAATACTGACCCGCTTCATTCATACATTAAACGCACCATACATTGAACTTCCACGGTTTTTCTTCCACGAAATTTTCATCCCCAGATGTCGAAATAATCTCTGAGATCGCACAGAAAAGTTCATCGACCAAAAGTATTATAATTTATCAGAATCTCGGGAATTCTATTCATTTCTACTGCACCTTATTTAAGATTCTCAACTCACCTATTTGGTAAAGTTGAGGCGAATCAGCGTGATACGTTCCAAACAGTAAACTACAGACCTAATCGTTTGATTATTCTACAGTACATAAAATCAATGGAGTCATTAAAAAAACAACGAAAAAAGTAACGAATAATGTCAACTGCACATTACTGTCTTCACGAAAAGCGTACAGCATTGATGCATTAAGATTTGAAACTGAAAATTGCTTCATTTTTTTCAATCGAACATACTTACAGTTTTGTTGTGATCAAGATGATTGTGATCAATTGCGATGCATTGGTTCACCAATCAAATACGTATCCATCCAGTTATGAACACTTCTAAGGAGCGTTTTCAGATGCCTGCATCAACATAAACACTTCATCAACTCTTCAGAAATTGATAAGCGTTCAATGAAGTTTATTAGAAAATACGATTCGAGTTACTCATCCAATATAGATGTTTCTCCAGTTTCCTGCATGAAATCATTGCCAACATGCTATTTCAATTCATCAGTCAGCCATTCCTTTTGGTCAACACATTAACAAGTGTCCTTGTATAACAGCGTTTATTAGGCTGGTGATGATGAGGATGAAAGTGCGATGGAATTCATAGAAATTAGCAACTCTTCAAAGCTGCGTTGGTCGTTAATCGAAGTGATTGTGAAAAACGTGATTGTTATATTAAGCAATCCGCGTTTGGCAGATGAATCTTTGGTGTTGTTCCGAATAATTGAGGAAGAGTTGAATCAGTGATAAATGCGTTGGCATGAATGCGTTGAGATGAATACAGTGTGAGGCTATGGAAGTTATGAGAAGGAACCGAATAAAAAGTAACATATTGGCAAATCTTAAATGTTGCCATATGACAGACTGAGCGTTTAGCTATTTCATTATTTAATCCAAATCAAAATTTATTTAATAACGACGATAATGATCAACATTGAGTAGCTATTAACTGATCGAAACAATTAATTGATCACGCTATGAGGCACCTTTTCGATCACATTTTCAAACGAATGGTCGCACTTTGAAGTCATGTAAATGATGCTTATTCAGGCAGAAATAAACAGTATTGTGTGCAGTTGGGCTGGTGAAAAACGACGCATTGTGCTGCTGCTTTTACGGTTTTTGTGGCATCTGTTTCGTAGAATGAATTAATTAATAAATTACACGGAATTACATTCATACATAGAATTCTTTTTGAGGTCGTTTATTCTGAGTGACAGCCACCGTTAGCTCATAACTCGACTTCGACTTCCGACAGCGGATTATCGAAATAATAACAATCGCAGAAAGCACGATCACCAGAAGGATAATGGCTATGGTGAGCGCATATTGCATTGGCTGCATGCCGACCCGCACTTGCGCAATGAAAATTGTTGTTGCTGCTGCTGCTGCTGATGGTGCTTCTTGAAATATGTAATCGATGTTGTTCACATGGGTGACTCGGCTGGGACTCCGCCTTCATGTCGTCTCCACTCTCTTATCGTCGTTAGCCTGGGCTAGCTAGCTGGCCGATGCTACCAGCAGTGCTGTTGTGGTCTGCTGTGTTAGTTTCGTGCTGCTAAATGTTTGTTTGGTCCGTTGCTGCTCGTTTGATTCTTCTTTGCTTGATAAGCTTTTTCATCCTTTTCTCATCGTTCATTTCACATTCACTTCACTCATCATCCATCTGGTTCTCATCTTCGCCTCATCAACCATTCTTAGTTCTCATTGGATTACTTGTTTCCATTATCAGATTTTCATATTGCTGCCTTCCAGAAAGCATACACATCGATGGATATGTTGATGAATGCTGCACATTTTATTCTATAAGCTGACATTATTAACCCAATGAACGATTGTATTCGAATCGCTAATCACACATCAGCACCAACAATAACCGTTTCAACGAAAGACAGCTTCCTTCTGTGATGATGATAGGGTATTTTTCCAGTGCTACTGCAAAACCAGCACATTTGTCATGTTCTGTTCCTTGCATTTTTCAATTCACGCAGCCATTATGTGAAAGAACGATAATAACTACATTTGAAAGCGATAATGCTTCAATCAATGTTGTTTTTCTTAAAAGTAATGCCACGAAAGCACACGCATTGCACATGTTACGTCAAGGTTATATGAAGTAAGCGTGAAACTTCAAAACTTTACGGCAACTTTTAATCAGAATGTTTTTGTTATCAACAGTTCAACATATCTTCAAACATCCTTCATTATTTTGAACAGTTTAAAAACTTCTTTATGGAACTGCCCACTGAATGTTTTTCATCAGTCAACGTAAAGTTACGACCTATAACTTTATTCTTTCAAATGGCTAAAGAATAAACAAATTTGTGCACTGTGGGACGAAATAAAGTGTCAGCAAAAAGAGGAGCATTCATTCATTTAATTGTAATAGTAATATTTATGAGTATGCACATCAGTAACCCATCCTCCGTTCGCAGCGATGCGTAAAAAACAAACTCATCTTTCGCTTATTCGTATGCACAACTGAGGTGGGGAAATCGGCAAAATTCACTATAACGCTCCTCGCAACAATTATCATCATGTTGGTGTAACGTCATTTTTATGCAGATGAGCATCAATTTAGTGAAATCTCACAGTCGCAGATGTCAACTGTCGGATAAATTTGAACAAACTGATAGCCAAGGTTTCTTTTTCTGCAACTTTTTTTTCGAAACTAATATGCTGGTTGAGACTGTAATTGGTTGTTTGATGAATGTTCTCAAACACTCTGAATTCGAGAGATGTGCAGTTGACGTCGTTAATTAAAAATTTTCTAGCGTACTCTTGCACATACAACGGACACATCTGCAAAACTTTATCGGATATATAATATTTGAAATATTCCATTCGAATGTCTATCGCACAACCGCAAAATTTATTGCGTTCACATTCAGCAACATTATATTGCAACACATCAGAAATGCTTACGTACAGATAAAAACAAATGACAGATCATCAGTTCAGATCGCTTTGATGAATTATTCTAAAAAAATTAAGTAACGCAAATGCTATTGTTATCGCTTCGATGCTACTTTAGCTTTCCACACCAAAGACTGCTACTTTTTAGCGGATGACAGCGTGTAGAATCGGAAATCATTCATAACGATAAACGCCATTTGCAGTGCTGATTCCGACAGACCGAGTCGTGCCGAAATAAGGCATCCTGTCATTCACTTATGCGACGGTATATTCAATAAGCTTTTAAAGCAAACTGCACGTTCGTGCTGTGGTGCTTTCAAAAAGCTTATTACGAAGAATACTCCTTTTATTCGATGTATTTGCAGTTGCTGAATCATTACTTTGCTGTCGACGATTTTCTAATTCGCTCAATTTGTCCTGAAACAGGTTAAGAGGGCGACAACTGAGAAACAGCACATAATTTGGGCAGGTAGAAGTATACCTTAAAAATTTCCCTTTCTACAGAATTGCCATCGTGAAAGTCAAACTTTTGACAAGAACATTTCTTCGAATTCATAGCTTACTGTTAGTGCTGACCGTCTTATTCATAGCGTAAAGTTGTTTCTTACAGAGTCGCAAGTTTCAAACACGGTACAGTATCATTGAAGTTCATGCGTAATTTCGCAAATTCAGTACTTCTTTATTGTTGTTCTGATAAACGAGAATAAAATTGTTGTTGAAATTGATTGATTAGAATTGATCAGTTACTTGATTTGAATAAAAACTGTAAATAATTTCATTGTTTTGGTAGCGAACTGGAAATCGAAATGGTACTCGCAACATGCTCGTAATGAAATCTTCATTCAGAACAGTGGTTCTCACGCTCAGGAGCTCCATTACCCTCTTCGGTGACCTGTCAAGCTGTCACTATTTCCCCACCCTGTTCACTACACGAAATTACTGTTTCCACGAATGCAGTCTTGGAAGATGGTTGAAAACAACATCATGCCTAAACAGTACATTCATAAATATGACGACTGCAATTTTCAATATAGAATCCCGCAAGATATCCACCACAGCGTAATATACATTGTCATAAACCAGATACGTGTGACCCCATTGAGCAGTTACTTCGTTCAAAAAGTTCATCTACGAACCAATAATCCCATTAGATGCAGAAATTAAAAGACACCAAAACTTTTCAGTGCAACCGAATGATAATAACGGATGAATTCAAAAATACTCGCTCTTGCACCAAACCAATGATCTTTTCTGGTGCACCAATTAACTCAATCAATTCTTACTAGTCATACGAGAAGATGTCAGCCAATACATTAAAGAACTTACAAAATGCTTATGAATACATCAAACTGACTTTTGTTTAGGTCTAAACGAGCTGAAGATACTTGGAACATATGATAAAGAAGACTGTTACCATGGGCGAATCGCGCTTAAATACTCGAATGGGAAAACACCATCACATAACGGTTGCCCGAAAGTTAGTTAGCCGACCCCCTCAATTACCCTCTTACACTCCCAAATTACCCCCGGAAGTAGTTTCCCCACACGAGAACCACTGATTTGGAGGGAGTTTTTGAGCCGGATGTTGCTTCATCAATTCTTTAAGTATGCACTTACTTAAAATTGATAAGCAGCTTACCTGTAGTTCGAATATTTTCTTCTCCTGGCCACTGTCTATTTGCTTCCTCAAATTATCTATATCAGCAAGTAGTTGACAATCGGATACTTTAGGTGATTGAGCCCTGAACAAGGAGTATGTATACTAAAATTTACAAACTTAACTTTTCTTTTCAAAAATCAATAAACTGATTTAGCATATAAAGAAAAAGGCACATACAATGGCGTGCCTGGTGAAACGCATGAGTTTTCTTGCGATCCAGTTAAACTCCTCGTTTGCATGTGTTGCGTTTGCTGGAAGCACGCTTTTTCATCATCAATTGATGCCAGTGTATAGCAAACACTCATTTGGCTAAAAATTTTTCCCCAGCTACTTTCGAACAAAACGCTTTTTGAAGCTACTCACTCCTCTTGAGTTACTGATTCATTCCTTACGAATGCGAAATATCTCAATAACTTGTTTGGTGTGTTTCTGGAGTGAAATTTAATTTCCAGGAACTCCGCTCTGAATTTTTAAAAGGAGAATAAAATGGAGCTTGAAACCGACAAAGAATTACGCTATATATGCTTTAATCTCCTGTCTTTTTCAGTCATTTAGCTTCCTTAAGTCGCTCAGTTAAAGATTATTGGAGAGTTTTTTTTCCTCACTTCAAGCAACATAGCCTTTACACACCTATAAGCAGATAGAAACTTCAAACTTCCGCAGAAGTCATTCCCTTAAACAGTTTGAAAACGTATATTTATTCATTAATGAGTGACACAATGAATTTGCAGCTCGATGATTTAAAATGTTCGAATTCCTTGAGTACTTACAGATTATTGAATTAATAATTAATAACCGAAAGCGAGTGAATGATGCTAAATCATGGAGTAACCTGTAGGCAGTATAGGGGAGCGATTAACACAATGTTTTTATCACATTCAACAGCTAATGAAGTGAAACGCAATAATTGTAACTTGCTAAAAGTAACCTCATGTTTGAAATTAATCGGCAAAACTTCAGCTTCTTCTAGTTCACGCTGGATCCACGTTTCAACGTGGCTAGCCTCGTTGTTGAGTTCAGGTGCTGAGATACGACGAAAGTGATTACGCAAACGTGGAATACCGCTGCGATTGCTTCTTAGACTGACAATGATTACAGGTTACAATTAACGTCATCAGAAATACTTTCAAGCATTCGAAATGATTCATAAAATTTAAAAAATTAAGCCACTCTGTAGCCCTTCAGGGATGAAATATGCACAGACGTAATTGAAAGCAATGTAGTAGAACAAACAACAACATTTTTCCGCTCACTCTGGAATGCAGAAAACTTAAAACGTACTGAATGATGAATTGAAAGACTGAAAAAAGTTTTCCGACCAACCAACCCTTTTTTCAGTTCATGAAGCAAAGATGTCTCAATTATAATCATCACATTTCGTTTCCAGCACACCAGGCCACTCAGAGTGATAAAAGTCTTTTTAATGTCGTTTGCTTCCAACCTCAAAGAAAGACACATAATTTCCTCCCGTTTTATTAAAAAACTAATAATCCATCGAAGAAAAGTTTGGTTTTTTTGATGATTACTGAAATGAATTATTTTCTGTTTATCATACGCAAATGGATTCACATATCGTTCAATTTGGAAGGTAGCTTTGCAATGTACGAAATCGTGCATAATGCTTCACACAGAATGGAGCAGAGATGCAAGTGCGTGCTGACAAGCACGATTTTACAACCGACGGTTGCAGTCTAACCAGCCGATCTAATCACCAAGTAAAATCGCATTTGATTAACGTTTCTGGTAAAGTTGAGTGAGCAGTGATTGAGAACTCAAACTCTTTCACAACACTGAAGAGAATGAAAGGATTTTATTTCTTGTTTTAACGACCACCTTCTATTGCAAAAGCACTGTTCCATATAATTCCTCTCAGTGTGATCAGACGAGACCGATCATAACAAAACAAACCTAAGCACAATTGATGGTTGCAGTAAAAGATTCTCTAAAGATTCGGACACGTCCTCACCCTTCCTGGGTCGTTTCGATACCAATGCCGACTTCACTTCTCTTTCTTCAGCTCTAAACGCGCTAAATACGAGTATTGCTGGATGGAAAGAGCCATCGAAAAGCAGCATACTAAAAATTCATTAAGCAATCTCGCTTTCGAAAGCAATCTCGCTTATGCTATATCCACATACAATGCTATATCCACAACGAACTGAACTCAAATCGAAAGATGAGTGCGTGTGTTATGAATGCCTTAGAAAGAGGTGCATAAAATCAATAATAATATTAATACAATATTGCCGATTCAACCGGTCTGTTTATAGAACACGTTATTTCTAAATCTTCGACAGTCAGTCTACTGCGGACTTGGTGACCTTTTGATCCCCAAAAATATAATTCATTGTCTGTTGTACCAGCCATTGAAAAGCCATCACCACATTCGATCATCTACAATTAAGCATCACATCACAAGAAATTCATTCAAGATAATGCGATCAGAAAAATGCAAAAACCTCTGAAGATGTTGAGCAATCATTACTGTGCTCTTAAATTACGATGAAAATAAAAGAGACTAAACAAGTGCAAATTGCGACTGCTTAATTTTGAATTGTTTCTTCAATTTTGACAGGTATCAGAATTCTCACAAGGCATGTTTTTGAAAGAAGGGACTTCACTGGACGATGTGTTCCAGAGACAGGATTTTTGTGGCCCAATCCCAGTTCGCCATTAGTGTTTTCACCGAACAGATGGATGTTTCCAGATTCGAGAAGAACTGCAATAGTTGCCAAGAATAAGCAACTCTTTCGTACATTTTTGAAACTTTGTGCAGTGATAGCAAACCTCCACTATGCCGCCTTCCTAAACGAATGTCAACAACCCGGGACGAAAATGCCTTTACTGACGTTGGTGTCAATGCTTCTTCAACAGCCACCTGAATATGATTTCTCGTTGAAATAAAAAAGACCGAATCGGACCGTGAAAGATGAATACCACAATAATTCAGCGATTTAGCTCCACACAGCATTCAAATTGATTGCAATTCACAAAAATTTGTTTGATTTTTAACTGATTAATGATGAAGTACCACTGATGTGTTGACGTTCGAGAAGAAACCTTCACGATGATTCAAACTGAGCTTGTTGCAATGGTTTGAGCCCATTGCTATGATTGATCCACAATCCGTCAAAAGAACCGTTGCATCTGGACCACACCTAACGTTCACCACCATCTGTTGTGTCGGGATTGCAATCTCAAATGAAGTTTTCATCAACCAGTTATAACCGACACTTGTTACAGTTGAGCCAAAACGCCTTCACCAATGCGAAAACTTTCGATAATCGGACAGTACTGAGACATTCATGGATGACAATGGAAAACAAATAGTGAGATGCATATGACTTAATTACCTGTGTAGCTGTACTAACAAACTCAGTGTTGCCCGTGCCTAAACGTCCATTCATACCACTACCCCACACAAATACTTTTCCATCATCAGCAACTACGACGGCATGCTCATCACCACATGCAACATCTATAACATCAACCCTGAAACAGTCCGATTTACTAATGAATGTAATACCAATGTGAACGTTGTCCATACAGAATAGCTATGGCTGCAATACGCTTAGAATCAGACCTCAGTAATGCGTCAACCAATGCTGGCTTCAATACATCATGATCTTTGCAACCGTCACCGCAATATTTGACGTTGCCACAAAAGAGAACCGTACCGCGTTCAGTGCAGAACAAACTGAATGTTGCACCTATAAACAGCAATCAGCACGAACAATGAGCAATGAAAATCTCATTGTAATTGTTTAATGGAGCTGCATCGTTTAATGGATTCTTCAGAGCGAACTGATATGAAAAGAGATTGTCGTCCTTACAGCTGTACGAAATGAAATACAAATTTATATCAGCATGATATGTGCCAATTTACATCAACGTTCTTCGTGTGTTATCGTGCATATGAAATTGAGCTGCATAAGCACAAAAAACGATCAGTGTAAGCAATAAAATGAAAGCAATTATTTTCAGTCGAGTTTCTGCAGGCAACTCTAAGCATAGTTTCATATGATTGAAAATGGTCGTCAATTGACCACTTGTTCCAAATACAACAAGGTGTATATGGAACAGTAATGATCATTGTCATACCGAGCGCCACTTTAGATACAGATTTGCCGGAAAGACTGTCAATAAGGATTGGTTGTGTGCGACAGATGCGATCACCCAAACCTAATTGACCATGGTCATTATCACCCCATGCATAAACATTTTTGTCGGCTGTCACTAGCAGGTGATGGCGTTCGCTGAGTGCTACCTGCAAAATATTACATAGTGAGCGAGAATTGATCAGTTCGAAATGAACTGAAACAGGGCTTCTCTCAGTTTTGAAGTGATGACCTAAAACAAACGATATAGATATGAACTACAATCGTTCGGAAACATTTAGACCTGTTTGATTTTTATGTTAGTTGGCATTGGCACAGCTGGACTCAAAGTGATATTAGTAACATCAAATTTATATAAGGCGCTTCTGGTTGAAGTCTGTGCGATGTTTTCGTTCAGAAGACCATCTGAGAATTCGGTCGTATTCTTATTCTTTGCACCGTCAAATTGCTTCTTTCTTATCATATTTAAGGCATCTTTTGCTGTTGGCCGCTGTTCTGGATCAAGTTTGAGCATTTCTCGGATAAGCAATTTCAACTCTTCACTGTACGGGCCCTGAACTTGGTCATACTCTCCCTGAAACAACCAGCATGAAATCTAAACTTCAATTATTTCTGTTGTGATGATTCTCTTCGTTGCAAAAAACACAAAATCTAGTTCTACAGAACTCTTTCAGTGGTTTAATTCAGGAGAACGTAAAGACTCTCGCAAATGACACGAAAAGCTCGCCTTCATAATTTTATTGACCAAGGCAGGCAGATTGGTACCCTCGAATGTTTTCTGCAGGCACATCATTTCATATAAAATACAACCCAGTGCCCAGATATCGCTCTTTTCATTGTACGGTTTCCCTTCGCACTATAAAATTGTCTTCCAGCATTCCCTTGATGATGAAATACGATCAATTATGTATGTTCATATATTTTCAAAAAACGATGAATCGACAAGAAAAGACAAATTAAAAATCACATGGGGGTTGCAGCCATCCAAAACTATCTTATTGCCGGCTGAAAAATGCCATTCAGCATTCTTTGAATGCATAGCAACGCACCAATTTGAAAAGGACTATCAGTGGACATTTATTATGTTCATTGAACTCACCATTTCAGGGCTTATGTAATATGGAGTGCCAACGACTGTTTGAGCTCCTTGCATTCGCGTTTCAGTTCCCATTATTTTACTTATACCAAAATCGCCAACTTTAACATCATTATCTTTTGTAAGGAATATATTTGCCGTCTTTAAATCCCTGTAGCAAATCATAAAACAAACTTTACATTATGTGCCACTACTGATGTTTCTATTCCGATTAAACTGTTCCGTTCTTGTTCTGTTCCTGTTTTGCTCTTAGAAAGAGAAGAGAACAAATTCAAGAAAAAGGTATGCACAACAAGACATAACAGAATAATGGGGGTTCAAGAACAACATAGAAGCTCTCAAAGAATAAGAGTGGAGATAGCACAAAACAGAACAGATTTTAATTCTTCTCTGAACTGTTTTATGTGAGCGGTCGATTCCCTGCGTGGGCAATATTCTTTCTCTTCAAATCCCATAGGCTTCACAGTCCGTCAGCCAGGGTACCTCGCGTGCACAGCCCTAATTATTGTCAACTTTCTTATTATTTCATTATATTAATGCAACAAGAATAGGAAAGAACAGAAGAAAGCAGTTAAAACGACAGTACAGGATAACAGCGAACACTTCAAGGGGCGCACGAGATCAGTTTCAAGAAGGGATGTGCAGGACAAAATAGAACCATTGAAAAGTAGAACAGAACAAAATAGAACAGTTTGACAAAAATGTGGAAACCAATTCTCACTCATTTACAGAAAGAAACTTTCAAAAAGTAATTGTTGCAAAGCGTTAAGGATAACATTGACCTGTGCAAAATATTATTGTCGTGCAGATAGGAAACAGCACTGAGCGTTTGCTCAAACATGCGAATAACTTCATTCTCTTCGAGTAACTCTTCTTGACGTGCCAACAACTGCATTAATGTACTGCAATGATTTTGACTCATCCACTTTTATTTTGAATCACACGAAACCTAAGCAACTTTGTACTGAAGTAAAAGAAGCGTTGTTGAAATTACTCAATCTTTCATAGCAATCATGGCTTTTTTTTTTCAACTCTTGCGTTGGAGATTGAATTTTTCGAGCACATTAGTAGATTGCATCTAATGAGAATAGTAAGTTAATAAATCTGGCTGAAAAAAACTGCCCAAAGGACCTTGTCTGCAGCTCTATGATCATTGGTAAAGACAGTAATGTGAACTGCTCGTAAAGGACGATGAAATATTTTGTTTCAGCAGTGTTTTTGAACGCTTCACATCATATTACTTATGATTGAATTGCATTTCCAAAAGATTCAATTCCGAACACTTTTTCAAGCACCCAAGTGAAGCTAACCGAAATATTCTAAGTAAATTTTAATATTTGAATGAATTTCAAATCTTCTACGAATGAACGTCACATGAATCGCTTGAATGTTCGTTTCGATCGGGAATTTTATTTTGGTTACGTGTATGAATGTTGAGGAGAACCATTTTGCAACAACGAACGAAATATTAAAATATCTTTCATCCAGCATTATGAACACAGGCGCAAAAGTACGCGACAGTTG